TGTGCGTGTGCGTGTATGTGTGCGTACGTGTGTACGTACGTGCGCGCGCGCTGGTAAATGCATGTGAATAGATGAATGGATAGCTGGACGGACAGACAGGCTAATGGATGAGCAAATGGACAGATGGATGGACGGACAAATAGAAGGATGGATGGATGAATCAATGAATGGAAAAGCGCGCACACATTTGTGTGTGTGTGTGTATGTGTGTGCGCGCGCGTGCGCGCGCGTGCGTGTCAAATAAAATAGCAGTATAAACTTGATTGGTTGTAGGACACAATTACGATTATCTATATATTGCAACTGTGCATGTTTTACAAAGTTATTAAAAATGAAAATGAAGGAATTATATGGTGAGAAGAGTTCACATTTGGCTTATAAATAAATTGTTCAGCGTTACCAAACATTAACGATATTTTCAAAAATCAATAATAACAATTTTGTTTATTTGAGTACCAATTCACAAGGTTTTTGTTTCACATTTATGCAAGAGGGCTGGATTTAACCCACCTGGCACCTCTGTTACCGACTAAAGAAAAACACCTGATTCGTTATAAGATGATTAAATTTTTATCCCATCATCTCTCCTAGAGAACTTCCATTGGTTACTGCTTGCTGATTTAAGGACAATTGTCAACTTACGTGCGTGCTTTGTAAACTCTTCGAACAAGTCATCTCGGTCTCGATTCTTTGGAATATTTCCCACAAACAAGCGGTGATTGTTATAAGATACGGTAACACCAATCTTTTTCCCTTTCCGAATCTCATAATCATTCAGCTGTAAGAATAATGTGGAAGGAGCGTGCCAATTAAGCTTGCCATTTATGATTTCACCTGCTTATTGGCTGTCTGAACATGGGATTTCATGAAGTATCCTTTGAGAAAAAGGGCGATTTGAGGGTGCAAGGAAGGGGGAGGATGAAGAGATTTTATATAAAAGGACCAAAAGCGTTATTCAAAGGATCACGGGCATTTGATAGTTTGAGAGGATCGATATCATACAGGGTGGGTGGGAGTGCCTGTCCGTTTGTTAGCGAGCCAAACGCCCCAGCGGTCCACGCAAATCTCCCATACCCCCGAAGCTTAGACTTAGTAATGAATCACGTTTGCATATTGCAAAATTGCAATGGTGCTAGACAGCATATATTTTTCTATCAGTATATAAAACAATTCTTAAATCTAAAAGTATCGTACAGCTTCCACATTTTCTCTTTCCATTTCCTCGCTTCTTTTTTACCATTCCAAAAAAAGAAGACGAAGAAGATATCAGTAATAAAGATTGATGAATTGATCAGTTGCGATAAATTCGAGGACGGGAAGATTAAGAGGATAGATAAGATAATCGCATGTATAGAGTAGGAAGCAGATAAACTTATAAGTCAACCTAAACATGTGAGGAAAAGAAGACTTGGACCAGAGAGGTGTTACTGTTCACTAATAAACCGAGAGGCAAGGAGACTGACCAGAACTAAAGGTTCCATAAGGTATATTCGCAGATCACAGGATCAATGTGATCCTTGAATGCTCCATAGTTCCATACCATCTACAACCACTACTTAAAAGCTAGCACTCTTAAGTTATACAATACAGGTAGACAGGTAGGTAATAGGTAGGTATAGGTAGGTACACACGCCTCGAATTCACTTTACCTGTTAATTTACCAAATTCCTCCAAGATCTCCTCTTTGCCTTTTGACTTTGGTATGTTCCCCACAAAAAGTCGTAGATTAGGAACGCTAATGTTTACTTTCAGACTCTTGCCGGGTTTTATTTCGTGATTATCGAGCTGTGGGATGCAGAAAACAGACACATGCCTAATTTTGTTCCAATGAGGCAGTTTTGTAGTTTTTAAAATAATTACAGCAGATAAAACGGAATTTGGGAAAAATTTTCTTAATATGCAATTTAATATGAATATTAATTATTAACAACGTGGCGTGGGTTCACGAAAGCGAGAAAGTGGCATGCGCTTTGTCGCTCGAGTCTTCACAATATAGGAAACCGGCCTTTCACGTATGAACTCCTGCAAACAAATTTTAAGCCTACCAATTTTCAGAATTTTGTTACAAAAATTGTCACTGTCCAATGAGAATCAACCAATTAGATAAATATACCCCTAACCAATTAGACCACACAATCATCATGATTTTCGGAAAGGTTCTCCACTCCCAATTTTGCCCACTGAGCAAAGAGGAGAGCTGGAAAAGAAACTCATCCATAGGACATAATTAATATATATTTCTCAGTGTTATTAAATATGTAGGATCAGTTGGATATAATTGCGTATTTAAACACGAATAAATGGTCAGGGACATATACATATAAATATAAAACATATATTATGTGGATTGTTCCTGCGTTTGTGTGTATTCGTGTATAAAAAATGATATATATATATATCTATATATATATATATATATATATATATATAATATACACACACACACACACGCGCTATCACTCCATCTCACATATAAAATATCATACCTAACTCGAACATTTTAAATGTCTTTATTTTGTAATAATAGATTAAACTCTAATATTGTTTTAAATAATAAGAAAAAATTGAAGCCATAAGGTTTGACAGTTTCAAGGAGCACGTAATGTAATGGCAATACTTTTGTTGTGTAAGAAAACATGAAGGAGATCTCAAGAACAATTCCTTTTTTTTTAAATAAAAATATATGATTTTTCTTACATAATATAAATCTTCTCTCTCTCATTCTACATATAAAAGTATTAAGGGATAATAATTTATAAAATTAATATTTTTCGAGTTTCGAAATTAACAGTTATATTTTATGCCAAATTATGTCAGAGCAAAGTATTAAATATTTCATAAACTATTAATTTTTTAAATCATATCTTAACACTTTTATATACGGAATAACTAGAACATTTACATGTAAAAGTCATATGGTTTAATTTATAAAAAAAAATAAAGTTGCCCTTAAAATCTCCTTCATGCATCCATATAACAAAAGTATTATCATTATGTGTCTCTCAAAACTATAAAACAATAGCTACTTTCCGATATTCACTGCCCCAGTGCTAAAAAATCTATAATTTGCATCACGTACACTATAGATTTTCAGTACTGAATATCGAAACACAGCCTATGTAACTTCGAAAACATTTTTTCCTATTAGTTAGAGTAACAAAGATATTTAAAATGCTCAAGTTAAATGATAGATTTTCTATATGCACCACATATACATACACACACGTGTGCCCTCCATCTCTTCTCCCCTTTCTCTTTTCTTTTTCTCCTCCTCCGCCTCCCTATCTCTCTTTTCTCTCTCCCCCCCCTCGCTTTCTCCCCCCTTCCTCTCTCCCTCTCCCTTCTACTTTCGTCCTCATACACACAACGAGTATGTATGTATACGTGTAAAACATTTTTTTTAATTGTATATACAATTTTTAAAAATATATATATATATTTGAAAAATTAGAAAAATGTATGGACTTGATAAAATAATAACATGTCTGCGTAAAATCTACTGGGAAACAAAGAAATATAAAATAGATAATACAGAACAAGCCACATAGAAATATAGTAACACTCATCCGAAATGTTAGACAAAGAAAACATAATGTAGATGTGCGTGTGTGTGTGTGTCTGTGTATGTTTGTGTGTTACACACACACACACACACAGAATAAAGAAAAAAAGGTCGATACCTCTGAATAACTCGGAAAATAAAAGTTTTATAAAAAAATGTTTCAGACAAAAGTTGTAGGGTTTAAAAAGACCTATTTTACTGACTATTAGTTTGACCTTAAGTAGAGTCGTTAAGGAGGATCCTGGAATGACGGCCGAACTCTGACGGGGTCGATAATTTTGACCGTTTTCTATGTTACCGGCCTAATCTGTCCTTATCCAACGAGATATTTGTCCTTGTCAGATTGCAACGCCATGTACACTGCGTATGATGCATAAAATCTGCGATCAATGAAAATCTTTCTTATTAGGCTTTTAATCTTAGTTTCAATGATTCAACGTTGTTCTTTGATCTAGTCCGATTAGTGGGGTACTTTCGATTTGTACACGTAAATTATATAATTCGTATATTAAACGAAAGTTTCCATGAAGTGACAGCTCTAGGTACAAAAGATCCAACACCAAGTATCTAATATAATTTTTTCAATTCTTTAAGTTTTTAGTCTTCAATTTGCCACTCCACTCATCACTTCTGTACGTGTTAATGGGATTTCAAATCTGTAAAGCCAATTCGAAGAAAATCGGACACCTATAAATATCGATCATTGCCGTCGCTCCAGGATCCCCTTAGAGATCTGCAGCCGTATGATTTACCGACATTAACGTTTTTCGATGGATCTTTTAAGTGGGTTTATAGAATTGCAAAAATCTTTTACAGAATTAAAGTACGCACAAAAATCTAGGGTAACAAACGCGATTTTATATAAAAAAACACCAAAAAATTAAAAATATTACTTATTTGGGCACATACGCATTTGTCACCTGACGAAAATATTTGCTTAAAACAAAAATTCTGCAGTTTATACATACATAATGTTTATCATCTGCCCTTGGGAAAACATGTAAGAATAATATCGTGCAAGTAGAAGTAAGATTCAATGCGTACAAAAAAAGATCCATCGAAAAATTATTTTAGTAATGCAAATACGGATGCAGAATGACAAGAAAAGCAGCAACAGTAGTTGTTGGATCTTGCGAGAGATGGCGAGCAATCGATAAAAGGACAGATGTCATTTCGTTAAACAAAGACAGATATAGGGAAAACAAAATTAGAAAGGTTGACATTATCGACATCGAGGAAGTTCACCAGTCACTGCAGGATCCCCTTAAAGGGATCCTATAGTGAAGGCCGAACTTCCTCAATGTCGATAATGTCAACACTTTTAATTCCGTTCTAATTCGTTTTCTATATTATCGCCCTATATCTGCTCTTGTCTAACGAAATGCATCTGTCCTTGTCTGATTACTGCGCCATCTCTCGCTACACGCAATACTGCTGGTCTGGTGTCATCACGTTCACGTAATCGTACTTTCCAAATAACTTTTTTATTTGGAGTCTTAGCCTAATGCTACAAACGGTATGATATTCTTTGATTTCTACTAAATGGACCTGCAGCCTCATTTTGTAACATCAAGTTGTAGAATTTTTATACAAAGCAAATGTTGTTAAAAGTAGAATTTTTTTTACTGCTTTATTTACTTATTTTTTTACAAAATCGGTAGTCGTCCACAGAGTAGAGCACATACTTTAATTCTATTCAAAATTTTTTTCAAATCCATAAAGCCAATAAAAAGTTAGGTGGAAAGTACAATTGTTGATATTACAGACGGCTTTAAGATCCCCTTAAGACTCAAGTCAGGGTTACTTTAAATTTTTTAAATTAAACCCTCTATTTTTTATTGCATATTCTTGTAGCCCTTGTATAGACGTTTTCAAAACATTATAATAAAGCTCTCTTTTGTTAAGAATTTCCTGAGATATTTCGAAGTTTGTAACCATATTTTTAATATAAAGTATGAAATATCTCGTAAAGTTCACTTTTCGATAAATTTACCTTGATACTTTTATACATAAACTAATGAAAGACATTGAATAATAATATTAATTTTTACGTTTACAATTTTGCAAAATTGAATATATCTACAAAATAAATATTTTTTCTTTTTCACAAAAATCGGTTCCTTTCATTATTCTATGTATAAAAGTCAAGGTAAAGTCATCAAAAAGTGAATACTTTAAAAGATATTTCATAAAATATTGTGACAAACTTTAAAATATCTCAAGAAATTCTTAACGAGAGCGCCTTATTATAGTGTTTTGAAAACAAGGGCTACAAGAATATGCAATAAAAAATAGAGGGTCCAATTAAAAAAATTCAAAGTGACCCTGACTTGACCTTAATGACTCCACTTAGAGTCAAACTAACAGTCAGTTAATATAGTCAGTAAATAGATGTTTTTAAACCCTACAACTTTTGTCTAAAACATTTTTTTATAAAACTTATATTTTCCGAGTTATTCAGGAGGGTATTGGCCTTTTTTCCCCACCCCATATATATTCAATGTATCTTCATCATCAATATAATTATAACTCTATAGTTATAACTCATATTAAAATACAGGCTATTAAAAAAAAAAATTAGAAATTAAACATGAAAGATTGCAAAGAAATTAAACTTCTGTATTAATTTATAAACATTTCGAAAGTGCGTTATGTTGGTAGCAATAACAATTTTGTAACATTTCTAAAAATTTTGAAAATAAAAAAAATTAAAGGAACCAAATCGGCTAGGTGTGTGTGACAATACGTTAATAACTAGGACAAGAAAGAGAAAAAAATAATTTTATATATTGTACGAAATATACACAAATAATAATGTTATGTGAGAAGATTTGAGGAAAAATATTAACATACCTCTCGAACAGCTTGCTGCGCAGCTTCCCTGTTAGTAAACGTGATAAATGCGTATCCTCTATTGGAACCTGACATGGGATCCATCATCAGTCTCAAGTCCCAAATTTTTCCACATTTCTCAAATAATGGAATTAATTCGTCTTCATACATGTCTTTTGGGATTTTGCCACAAAATACCTCACAACCAAAACATTTGACATAATAAGTTTAAAAAATTAGAAACAACTTATATGAAAATACACAACATATTTCCTTTGATGATTAATGCTATATACGTAATAAGTTTCTTGATAAAAATGCAAACTAAGAATATATATAAAGCGCATGATACTCTTTTTTTATTATTTTAGAAAATTTATATATAAAAGAAGATTTAAAAATAGAAATACAGCATATTACATATCCTATTTGTACATACATACATACATACATTTATTTATTTATTATATGTATGCATGTACATTAAGGTGGTCCTTATTTACTCAACAAAAAAAAATTTTTTTTTTTTTTGCGGCACCCCCCAAAATGTTTTTAATTCACAAAAAAATAATCCCTGCCAAAAGTTCAGCTTGATCGGATAACGGAAACCCGTGCCCCTGGATTTTTAAACATTTGAGTTTTCTTGTATTAAACTGTTTATTCCATTAACATTGGTTTTTAAAGCGTATTTTCCACAAAAGGGCCTAAAACACTTTTCTTTTTTTAACATGTGTGTCTTGCTTTTCTGTATCGTTTGTATGATCGAGCTGAGCTTTGGCAGGGATTATTTTTTTGCGAATTGGAAACATTCTGAGGGGTGCCGCAGAATAAATTTAAAAGTAAAGAAATAAGGACCACCCTAATGTACATGTGTGTATGTATGTATATATGTATACAATTTATTAAGCAAGTCAAATTTACCTCACAACCAGTCCCAGGAGTAGGACCCTCCCAATTTGGTGGAGGGCCACCATATTTTCTTTGCCCAGTAGTTACATCCAAAGGGTATCCCGTTCTTTCCAGAATCAACTAAAATATGATAATTATTTATATTATTATAAAATAGCATTTATATATCTAAGCAGATTAAAACTGACAACTTTAGAAAAATTTACATGTACAAACGTATACAAAGAATATAAATTAGCATATATAATCTGACTATGTATCGTCAAATTACCTTGATTTTATCTTCATCTGGGGCTTTGGGTGTCGTACTGGTGCCCGTACCTTGACCAGCACGACTCTTCTGTCGGTATGTCTTCATTACTCCACAAAGGTATGCCGATTTGTTAGATACATGTTCCAGATTAGATTCCAGAAATTGTGTAAGCACGTTTAGCGCACCATCAACCGGAAATTCCTTCAAGGCATCAAGAGCCCTTTCATCCAGATCGATATGAGCCAATTTCCCCGTCTTATAAATTTCATCCAATTTAGCAGCTACTTTCTCATCTAGTCCATATTGCATGAGTTTGTTAAAATCTTCTGTCCGTTCCACATTTTCCATTTCTTGTTTTTCTTCCATTTTTATCTCTCCATTTCCTTCTGCCATAGCTGAAAAATAATACTTATGTTAATCAACAATTTTAATCTTTCATCACTATGTTAAATTCATAATGAATTACTTGGTTACATAATATGCATTGCAAAGTGATATTTATAGATTTGTTTTAAGTTAATATTAAACTTTTTTAATTCTTTTCTTAAGAAAATATCTATATAAAATAAAGAATTAAATAATACAATTATGCTTAATAGACAAATTCAAACACATAGCACATGTGTACAATAATATAAATTATTTTATAATATCCTTTTTATAATAACACGTGATATTAACCAAAATCCTTTTTTTCTCTGAGATGTAAAACGAAAGAATGAAATACGCTCCAATAGATACAATTTCAAATTAAGAATTAAAACTGTATAACAAGTAAATAAAAATAATAATTGCCAACAAACTGTAAACATAAGAGAAAGAGCACTATTAATTACAAAATATATAATTTACAGGTTAATGTAACTCACATATCACTATTTTGAGCAAACCTAATTGTCAATCAAACTTCAATTATTCTCACTCTTCTAAGAAACACACCTGTATGTAAAAATTCATTTCTAATGGAAAAGCGCGCTTTCTCGAAACGATAGAAAGTTGAGAAAAAAATCACCGGCAGAAGAGCGAGTGCGTGAAAGAAAAATCACAAATCCGTCCGTTTGTTGCAATTGCGTACTCGGCAATGCATCCGGTAATGCATACGTGTAAAACAAGACTGTAAAAGAAGACTGGAAGGAGAAGATAACAGAGAACGTCGGAGTGTACAAATCGGAGCGAGAATCGTCCGAGACTGGATCTCCCTGACGCACCAAACTCGAAAATAAAGTAACTAAAAATATCGGTCAAGCGACCAAACATTGCATTTTTGTCTCGTTTGACACAAAAAATGGGAAAAATGAAGACGAGGAGGAAAATTTGCACAACGTTGTACGTTTGATGACACTCGCCGTTCGGTGTACCGATTAGGCAACGAACGATCAAGCGCGATCGGTTGGCACAGATGGCAATGGTAACGGCAACAGCGCGGCAACAGTGCAGCGCGGCAAGGGGCGGAACGAAACGGCAGGGAGCGGAGCGGAACGGAGCACGGAGCAGCGCACTCGCTGTTGTAGCAAAGAATTCACGCGGCAAAAATCGTTGCGGTGATATTCCTCTATGCTCTATCCTCTCCAACGCTGCCATTATACTCGCGGCGGGACTCGCGCTTTTATCACGAGCTAGCCTAGCCGGCCGGCGAAATACAACCGCGCTCCGTACAACGGCGGCGGCGACGGCTATGATATACGATGCACTTATATGCACTCCAGACATATGCACTTCGCAACGCGTTTATCTTATATTTTTCACTCGCGTTCGCAGAATCGTAACGGTAAACGGCGTTGTGGCTTGATGCCGGAAAATTGGCCGTGCCGATAATGTAAATCGAACAGCGATCGTTACCTTGCAAAATAAACGAACGGGCTCCTCCACGCGAGGAAATGGCGACAGACGTCAACGTGATTGCGGACTACGGGGTTCACAAAACGACGCGCAAAGATACGCTCGAACCCAGCGACACGACGTTGGCCATTTTCTCGCCGCGGCCGCGCTCGTGCGAATTCTGATTGGCGCCCGTGAAACGGCTTGAAAAAAAAAGTCGACCGCGCCGCGCATCAAATTGGAGTACGCGCACAGAACACGCTCGAGAACTCTCGTTCATCGCACGCGCGCGCGCGCGCACACACACACACACACACACACACACACACACACACACACGCGCGCGCGCGCGCGCAACGAATTACACGAAATGGGATATTTAGGGTGACTTGCAAACATTCGACGAAATTGGTTCTCAAAATCGAAAACGCGGTAGATCGCGTTTGGTCTGAATGCGAATTTTGCTAGGCTTGCTGCTCGCGACGCAAGAGATATACGTGTCTACGACAAAGGTTACGTACAATGAGATATATGCAAACCTACAGCGAGATTAACCTCGTAAAATCTGAAAATCATGAAACATGACGAACATATTCACCTGCCAACGTGGCGAATGTCGCCACACTACACTTGCTATCGCTTTCGCGCGCGCGCGAATGCTTTTGCATTCCGCGAACACACCTTATATTTACGAACGGACTCGCGCGAAACGTGAATATTCGCAAAAGATTGTGATTTGACAATATATATTTACACATGTTTTCGCAAGTACGAAGTCGTTTAAGTCATTTTATCCCATTTCATCCGATTTCATCCCATATCGTATGCTTCTCATCGCGACGGTGTCCGTTACCGACACGAATCCGCCAAGCGCATCGCATGAGCCTTCGACCACAGAGAAGCCATAACGGCCGCACGAAAATGTCGCTCACGCGGTGCATTCGTGTGACTGCACTCGGATTCGTTAAGCGATCCGCATTCCGCAAGCTCTCAAATAATGCGACGCACAATTCGGAGCCATTCGAGTGTGAATTACATTTTTCCTTTCGCACTTCAGGACGAAATTAAAAATCAGTAGTCCGCGTGGAGTGGACAAAAGGAAATATGTGATAATCGAAGACGAAGAAAAATTCCTCCAAACAATATGTTATTTCTTTTCTTGCGGCTATTATAACTCTGCATACATTGAATTATTACGTAAGAAAAACGAATGCATTTGTTAAAATGCATTCTCCGATTATCTCGTGCGGTCGAAACAAAGCGACGACTACCAAAAGAGAAACAGAGATAGAACGAAGGGAAGAAAGAGACGGAGAATGGAGCGATGCACTCATCATGATAAAAGATGCATGTGTACCTGTGCCGAATTTGTGCTCCTCACACTGGTATCAATTTAGCAAATTCGTTGCTTTGGCGATGAAGAAATATCAGTTGCAACGGCAACACAGGAAAAGTCAGGATCTTCCACCGAATGTCGTAAAACTCATAATTAATTGGCACGTCACAGTTTTTTCGCGAAGAGCGTATTCCGTACTTCAGGTTGACGACGGCGATGGCAGCGGCAACGCCGGCGACGACGGCGGTAGCGGCGGCGGCAGCGATGACGACAACGGCGGAGGCAACAGCGGCGACGACGGCGGCTGTTGCAGCGGCTGCGGCTGCGGCTGCGGCTGCGGCAGCGACGGCGGTGGCGGCGGCGGTGAAGGTGATGGAGGCGGTAGCGGCGGCGATGGCGATTTGACGACGATGACGGCGCCGACGGCGGTAACGGTGGTGGAGGCGACGGCTGTGGTTGCACTCGCGGTTATATTCACGCCGTAATTGCACTACTGAGCGATGTGCGAATGCAGCGCGCGAGGGGGTGAAGGAGGATCAGCAACGAAAGAAATGCCCGTTTTATCGCGTACAGCCGGTGCGCATTGTTTCAAACGATTAAATTTAATTTCGTGTAGGCACTTATGTGTAAGATCAAAACCAAAGACCGAAACAGACACACAAATTCCGTAGATTATTTTATTGGCGACAGCGGTGGCGGTGGCGATGATGACGGCGACGATGGTACTGACGACGATGATGATGATAGTAGTGGTGGTAGTGATGGTGGTGGTGGTGATAATGGTGGTGGTGGTGATGGTGGTGGTGGTGATGATGATTATGATGAGGACGACGAGACAATGGTGAGTGGAGTTTAAGGCCCGGGCGCAGCGTTTTGATATATCGTGTAGTGCCTACATAGCCGTGATGCATAAATTGGACTGTCTCGCTGAAAGAGCGATGCAATGGTGCGAGCTCCACAAAACTGAAACCAGTTTGCTCGCGCCTTGCCACCAGAGTCGCATCTCAGTCCAATCCGATTCAACCGCTTACCTCTCTTCGCGGTATACGCGGACCCCGCCTTACTCAGGACTGTCGTAAGGAACTCAGGTTGCCCCAAGTACATCATTTGGCACTCCAATGAGAATATAACCTCGAGTTTCAACATTTTCATCTTTTATTATAAAGATATGTGTGCTATACATTAGAATCTAAACTACATTCTCTACATTCGAATTTATCTCTCATGTGCTATATGCAAAATCGTTAATTAACGTAGTTAATTGAATACTATAGCTTTTTTGTAGCTCAAGTTTTGCTGTAATAATTAATAAACTAAGTTGTGATAAGTTAACCTTTTTTACGACACTGTAATGTGTGAAAGAACTAGAAAATATTGTTCTACGAAATTTGTTCATGCGATACGTTACAAGAACATAAAACTCAATGAAATATGAAAATTCAATAAATCTCGCAAGACAAGAACGTATCTGTCTTGCATGGCGAGGCAATATCGAGAAATTTTTTATTTTATAAAGTAAAAGTTTATAAAAAAAACTGCAACAAATCAAAAGGAGGAATCAAAAGAAGCAGCCACAAATGCCTCACTCTTTCTTTCTCATTCTCTCCCCTTTCTCGCCTCTTCCTCTCTCTCTTTCTAATAGCACTTTCATGTGCTGAATTATGGACATACATGCCTACGAATGATGTGTGTCTGTGACCTCGACATGTCTCCGCACGTCTCGCCGAAAGAAAACGGTCAGCGATCTCAACGAGCGCAATGGACGGGATCTATCGAGAATGTTACGGCCCTGCGTGCTAACCGTAAGCCACCCATCTGGTCGGAACATGCACCCGCGTCCCTCCGACCTCCGATGGCATGGCTTGGCGTGGCGCGGCGCGACGGCAACGAAGGTGCAAGTGAGAGCGAAAATACGTCGGCTGCCTGACTCGCTAGCTCGCTCTTGCCTTGCAGAAACCTGTTCGGCTCAGAACTTTTCTACTTTCTTGACGATTATTTTTATCTGCTGAAAATCGCACGCAGCAGGCAGGCAGACAGGCAGGCGGGCAAGCAGGCAGGCGGACAGACAGGCTAGCCGGCCGGCCGGCCCGGCCGGCCGTGTGTCGTACCACGCCGCATTACGTTGCGTTGCACTGCGCCGCGCCGCGCCGGCTTTACCGGAAGCGGGCCATCCTAAAAACTATCAACGGTTGGACGGACCAGCAGGCCGCATTCTCGCCACAAAAATTTAATTCTCCTCAAGTATCGTCGTCGCGTATGCTGTTCACTGTACGCCTTCCCTTCCCCATTTCTCATTTCTTTTTATTCTTTCTGTCCCTCTCCCCCCTCTCTCTCTTTGTCTTTTTTCTACATTCCTTCTCTCACGTCGTCGTCTTTGTTTCTATATTCCCTCACTATCTTTGTTTCTTCCTTTCTCGTTTTCTCTTTTGAGAATACCCGATTCCTCACGTTACCTTTATCGCACCAATCGACCGTCTGCGCCGTGCACTTTTTTGCACTTATTCGCATACCATAGTCGTGGGAGGTTAAAATTTAAGCGACGCGCTGGTGAAAATTCTGTTCGCATTTTCGAAGATTTATATCGCGCGAATCTATTTTTTTGTATTTATATATTTCAGTGCGCCAGGCGTGTTGTTTGACACCAAAAAGCTATGAAACATAGAATTTCTGCCGTAATTTGACATCACGTACATGATAATTGTTTATACATAATTATGTTTACTCGAGAATCAGTGAGTGCGATTAAATCAGTTTCTCGGAGAAAATAATTATTTGGGCATACATGATAAGTAGAATTAAGTTTTTCCCTCACGTGAAATGTTATATTTCAAAAACTAACATATATTATCACGGGTTTAATCAGATCCTTGAAAAACGAAACTTGGAATTTTTTGTTCTCTTCATAGGCCAGTCATATTAGACATCGAACCTTCCAATTACTCTTTTCAGGTTGCAACCACCATGAATCGCTTTGATTTAAGGTGCTGTAAGTGGGATTAATTTTGATTCGCATAATTAATGCGCATTAAAAAGTTATTAACAATATTATCAACAAAAAACGCGATTTTTTTTATTTTTTCTCAAATATCTCGAAAACTAAGCAAGATAGGGTAACTAACTATACGTACCTTTTTTGTAGAGCGT